TATATATATAGTACACAGTAAGTACATACATGTAACTCCATTTATATATATATAAAATAGTAAAATGATAATGGTGATGATAATTATACATTACTAGTGATTGAAATGAAACGCTATGGAGGTGATAAAAGATGTAATGAATAATAGTAACAATAATAAGGCTTATTTTTAGATTATTGTCAACCGGCGCCAAAAGGGCGTCTAGAAATAATAAACCAGTTAAAAGACGAAGCGCAAATTATAATAGACAAATAAATAAAGTGAATCAAATAGAAACAACTATAAAAATAACAAGAACACAGGCAAGTTGGAAGGTAGATGAACTGGAAATGGAAGCGATGAGAAAAGGCGGAAAAAATATGTGGAAGTGAATGAACGGAAGCGAAAATACATTAATTTTTTTCCAAGTTAACATTTCTTAGTTCTTCGCAACTATGTGAGCCTTTACATCGTGCAGACAACATGCTTGTCTGTGCATGTATCACAGCCAACATAGCTGTTTTTGCGCGTGCGGCCGTGTGTGTTAGTGCGTGTGAGTGAGTGAGTGAGTGAGTGAGTGAGTGAGTGACTGAGTGAGTGAGTGTGTGTGTGTGTCTTCTGTTTGTCTGTCTGTCTGTCTGTCTGTCTGTCTGTCTGTCTGTCTTTACGTATCTACGTATGTGTGTAAGGAAGTGTAAAACTGAGCCTGAATGTGCGTCTGCATGCTTGTCTTCGGGGAGAGGGGTAACAGCGAATGGGGCGGGGGAGGAGGAGGGGGGTAGGGGCGTCGTAAAGGACGGAAGGCCGGAAAGCCAATCCTAGAAGGGACAAACTGTCTTGAAGTGCTCTATGTCTAATATGTCCGCGGCGGCAGATGAACGGGATTAGGTGTTACGGTAGCTAACATTCGTGTTTATGATGATAAATGGTGGTTAGTTGATTGGTTTGAGAACGACAAGCGAGAAAAGTAAAAAAATGTCACCATCGCCTCATACATACAAAAAGAAGCTATGAAGATGCTAGAAGATTATACATAGCTTACACAGACAAACGATGTACATGATATGAACTAAGTACAATAATACCGACAACGGCGACTTGGAGTGGTCGAAATTACACGAAATAAGTGGTAAATCATAAGAATGGCGTGTATGCAACAGGATCTAATCGGACAACAACAGCAATAGTAGTCTGCCAATTATCTATGGCACACTCCGTACCAGTTCGTCGCCAATAGGCGACCCATCAGCTGGCCAGGAACCGATAAATGAGTGAGTAACGATTGGCGGTGGGCTAGCGCGCGAGTGACGTTGTGTATGTGCCTAAATATTGTAATAATAACGCTAAGAAAATGATCATTTTAAGGAGGCCAAAAAGTTTAGCCGAAGCCTTTGTACAAGCTCTAGTTTTCTTCCCACAGCTTCGTATTGGGCATTTATTGGCAATCAAAGAATACGTAACCTCTACAAATCGTCAAATATGATGGACTGGAGGCATTTTAGATCGGCCGAAATTTAAATAGGACTATTTGGTGCGCACTGATTTGACATAGCATACGATTCACATAGAGTACAACTAATTAAAATTTCATTCCCGAGTCCCCAGTGAGTCCTATGTAATGCCAATTAAACCATCTCTGATACCTGCTCGTACGTTGATCAGGATTTTATTAATTTAAGAAAAAGCTGGGCGAATAAAAATCATCTGTGACCGTCATGTTGATTAGAGTTCTAAAAAAATAAAAAAAAAAAAACAACCCCTATGGATTACAAACCGGCTGTGTACTTCGGAAATGCTCATAACGAATCCGTAAGTTTGAGTATTGAAAATGCTAATCATTAGCGGGGTGTTTCGAGCTTCAATTTTGTCGCCGATTATGCCGGTGCTTCATTGATGGTTATTTCACAAAAAATACAAAAAAGGTAGTGAGGAAATTCATGATGTTGCTGATGAAAATGAGGATGATCGTGGTAATGACATGTGTGTATATACTAGGTTTTTCAAGTACTACTTAATTCTTATCTTGGGTGTGTGGCTGGATAACTAGTGTCTGGTCTGGTAAAGTCGGTGGTGCCAAGGGTTCGAGTCAAGCTGTGGTCAACCCGCAGATTTCAAGTGTTGATCTATTGCCCTATAACTTAAATTTCAGGAGCGAAATTGATGGGGGTAAAACACATAAATTCCGCAGAAATCCTATGATTGACTCATTAACTCATAACGCCAGGCTAAACAACGGAACGTTGATCTCTCACGAGTCATTCTCGTCCGGGTTTAGCTTCGCCGATGGCCTGTAGGGACTTCGAAAGCAATATTTCGAAGGACAGCATTAACTGTTGTATAATCTACTATCAACTGAAATACATAGTGCTCTCCATCGCAAAGGGCTTTGACAACTCTGGCTAGGATCATGAGTGCTATTTTGATATATAACAACGACTTGACAAGTATAGTGATTAGAGTTGATAATAGAGACGTTTTGCCGCACGTAACATTTCACCCGGAGCGGTACCCCTTAGCGAAGCTCTCTTTTGGTAGTCGTTAATCCACCAGAAGCATTGCAATGGCGCTTCCTTTTAAATAATGTACAGGAATTTCTCGAAGGAGAAAAACATTAATAAGTACATGTAGCGGGTAAGGCTGAATTAGGTG